CTCATTGACTCAAAACTCTCCACATCACCTTATGACGTAGCCAATTATCTGGGACGTATATTCCATGAAAACTCTTGCAATGCTAACTATGACCAAGATTTCTTAAACTACTCGCAATGCTATGCCGACCCAGTCAACACAGTAGACCCTCTCGACTCACAGCAATCCCTACTCAACTCTCCACTGAAGATCGAGGAACTTGAAGACGCCCTTCACAATTGTAAAAGTAAATCTCCTGGCCCCGATGGGATCCCCTACTCCTTCATCAAAAACTTCCCAAAAAACACCTTAAACCACCTCTTAGCCATCTACAACTTAATTTGGGATAGTAACGCCTTCCCTGAATCATGGAAACACGGTTATGTCATCCCCATACTCAAGCCTAACAAAAATAAATTCTTAGCAGAAAGCTACCGCCCCATTTGCCTACTTAACACTTTATGTAAATTACTCGAAAAAATAGTCAACCGTCGACTCATATGGTTTATTGAAAACCTCAACTTTCTCACCCCCGAACAAAATGGATTCCGATGTAACAGAAGCACAATGAACAACCTTCTAACCATTAAAAATGAGCTCCATTCTTCCTTAAACAATAAACAAAACTTGGGAATGATCAGCTTTGATATAGTCAAAGCATATGACACGGCATGGAGACCCAGAATATTAAATAAACTCAACAAAATCATAGCCAAAGGATACATGCTAGATTTCATCTCGAATTTCCTCAACAACCGCACCTTTCAAGTAAAAACCTCCAACACGCTTTCAGACACCTTTCTCCAAGAAAGTGGGGTCCCACAGGGGTCCACTATCTCTGTAACTCTTTTCCTGATCGCTATCAATGATATATCTGAAGGAATTTCACGCCCAAATATACCTCTACTATTCGCAGACGACTTCACTATTCTCTGCTGCAGTACTAACGTTAATTCTATTCAATCGATACTTCAAGACTCCACGAACAAACTAACGTCCTGGTCAAAAACTTCCGGCTTCCGTTTTTCTCCGGAAAAAACCAACCTTATAGTTTTCAGCCACAAGAGGAATAAGAAGAAAATACACATCAACTTCGGAGACCAAGTCGTAGAAAACCAACCCAATGCTAAAATACTGGGCATCATTTTTGACCATAAAGCTTCATGGACCCCTCATATTTTCAACCTAAAGAACACTACCACACCTAGATTCAACATTATAAAAACCCTAGGTCATACCTCATGGGGAGCCAAATCTCAAACCCTTCTTAAGATTCACAAAGCATTCATACTATCGAAACTGGATTACGGCGCTCCAATCTTCTCATCTGCGAAACTCACTAAACTTAAAATACTGGAGACTATCCACAACTCGGGAATCCGACTTTCCATCGGTGCCTTCCGCTCAAGCCCCATAAAAAGCATCTTAAATATTGCTGGAATCCCCTCCTTAGAAGTACGGTGGAGAGAACAAACCCACAAATTAGCAGCAAGAATTTCAAGATCCCCCCAAAATCATATTCATCACCCTAAACATACATTCAATCACTCATTCATAAAATACGACCTCGAAAATATAATCCCATATGAAAAACCCCTATGTCCCCCATGGCAGTTCAGCATGAATATCAACATCGACTTACATCAATTCCCCAAAAACTCAACCTGTCCTCACACTTTCAAGAATACATTCAGAGACTTCTATTCACACACCTACCCACAAACCCACATATATACAGATGCCTCCATTATCGAAGGGCGAGTCGAGATGGCTATCATATGCGATGAAACTACAATACAATGGAAACTTTCAGACAAATGTTCGATATATACAGCAGAAACCCTGGCGATCCTCAAAGCTATCGAGTTCATCATCTCTGAAATAAATGACAACAATATTACAATATTTAGTGACTCCCTCTCCGCTCTTACTAGCCTCCAAAATCTGTATTCCCCGTCTGATATCGTCAGAAAAATCCAAAACACCCACTACATAGCAAAACAACAGGACAAAAACATCACATATTCTTGGATCCCTGGCCACTGTAATATAGACGGCAACGAACTAGCAGATACAGCCGCCAAACTCGCTCACACATCCCCAAATTCTCTCTCCTTACCCTTTTTCTCACTCAACGACATAAAGAGGGTCATCGAAAAGGATACAGTACTTCACTGTCAAAGGAATGGAATGAAATGTCAACCAAACTTAACGAAATCAAGAGAACCATCCTACCATATCCACCTCCAGATAACATCTCAAGAAAACTTGAGACCTCTATAAACCGTCTCAGAATTGGTCACACCCACCTTACACACTCCCACTTAATGAAGAAGGAAGACCCCCCAGTTTGCACATGCTGCGGAACACCCCTTACTGTGAAACACATCTTAACCGAATGCAAAGTTTACGACAAAGAAAGAAGGCTATACCAAATATCCAACCACCTCGCCGAAGCACTCAATCCGGACCCCAACAATATACACAAGATCATACAATTTCTCAAGCAAACGAATCTTATAAACAAACTGTAAATTCTAAATAATACCATCACTTAACCTGTCTCTTAATTATTATTATCTTGTCTTGTTTTAAATACTAAATTACTTTGTATACCTTTCAAATATTAATGTAATATGTAAATATACTTAAAGACAATAATGTACTGTTACATCCAATGGCCATAGACGCCGCGGATAGTTGTTTAATAAAAAAAAAAAAAAAAATAAATAATTTTTTAATGTAAGTCAAATTACATAAGTACATATTATTATACATAGTTAGTCTAAAATTAAATTCAATATATATTAAGATATATGTATATCATTATTTATCAATTATCATTAAATTTATCAATTAGGTTTAGGTACCTATATTAATATGATTTTTATTAAAATGTTAGTAAAGGTAAAAAGTAAATAATTAAATTAATAATTACACCAGGCACCAAGTTTTTATATTCTATACAATATTATAAAAATTTAAAATAATAACAATGTTTTTACAATAATTGTGGATTATACATTTATTCGTCATTCTTTAAGGGTTGCCCAACTTTCTATCATTGTTGTCATGTCTATCTCATCCAGAATATCCTTGGATGAGTTCAGTACCATAAGATTGTCTAATCGCTCGTCAGTCATTGTTGTTCGCAAATGATTTTTTACAAACTTAAGAATACTGAATACTCTTTCTTTGGTCGCTGTAGAGACTGGTGATGTATATGCTAAGCGACATAAAGCATTAGCTGATGGTATAACAGTTTTCAATTTATTACTTGGTTCCATAATTGATTTTAATGTGTTATTATAATCATTGTCTGTATTAAGTCTTAATATATTTATTTCACACAGAATTCCATCAAAATCAGTTACCTTAGACAAATCTGAACCTGGAGGAAATAAAGAAAAAGCTTTCTTTATATCTTCTAATGTAATGGTCGATTTTAATGGAACTGATAAAATATGGTAGATAGGTTGAACCGAAGAAAGACAGGACTTCAAATTTTCTGCCATTAAATTTATTAATGTATCTAACACTTGACCAAATTATTTTCGATAAAATGATTCTAATGTGAAATCAGCTTGAGTATTTTAATTGGAATCAATTTTCTCAGGATTCAACCGTTTCCTATGATGTCTCTGAAAATCAACAACTCGGTCCACTTCCATTTTCAATGAAAATACTTTGGCAATTGATATGAGTTTATTTAATTGGTCGGTATCATTTCGGATTTCTTCCAATGATCTTACTGCACACTCAAGTAACACAATACCATCAACGATATTGAGATCTGAAGCCTCCAATTGTTCTGTCAGGGTTTTCATTTGATACATTATGGTTTTCATTGTATACATACTGTTGCAGCGGAACAATATATGTATGTTAGAATAATAGCTGGACACACACACACACGCACAGTCACGTATAATTGTTATCTTTGTATTTTTGTATTAATTACCGTGTCTTGTGAATTATGTAATCATTACTAGACTAGACTCTAGTGTATTATCTGGCTGGGTATTAATCATAGTTAACTGATTTACTTAGATAGTTTCTTACAAATCAAAACTTCTATCTATTAATTTTATAATTGATATATTATATTTTATAGGTATATATCAAAACTTTTAGTAGCCAAAACTAAATGTGAATTATGTAAGTTACATTTAAAGAACTTAAGTACCTCTAAAACTGGGCCTGAAGCAGATCTGGTTAATATAAAAAGTAGAGGCTAACTGACCCATCCAAATAATAACATTTTTAAAATATTTAAGTCATTAGAGTTATCATTTACTAAATTTGCTGATGCACCTAATGTTTTTGAAGATGCTTCTGAATATTTTTTAAGCCAAAATATAACTTTTGATTTTCCTACACTGAACATCGAACAGATTTACTAATGGATATTTGTTCGTATTATCTGATTATGAGAATGCGTCTGTAATATACTGGTAGTTCAGATGACTACTTGTATAGTTGTATATCAACGTTGCAGGTAGCTAGACCGTTTTGTTATGATGATGAGGTATTAGTTGAATAATTGTAACACAATTATAAATTATACTGTTGTTTATTCAATGTATTCAATGTTCCAGTAAATTGTAAATGGTGCTAAGTCGAAATAACAATCGCTACACAGAGTCGCGTGAAGGTGCTTGCAGTATCGATGAGTGGGCACGTCTGAATACAGGCTGTTTCGGGGTCCCTCTTATAGTCCTGTCCCCGCTCCCCTTGCCTAGTGATACTGTATTTCGGTTCTAACGGATGTGGTCCTTGTGGCTGTCGACCTAGCCCACGCACTTGCGAAATTCTTAATCTATTCTGCGTATTACTATAATGTACTGACAGATAATTTGTGACTGTCAATATCGTTATAATAAATCATACTATTTTTTATATTGAATTTCTCTCATATAACACTATCGCATATTTCACATCCGCCTATTATCTACATGATTGCAAAGTCGTGCTAATCTATTGTGATATTATTTTGAATATCGTTTCTCCTTGAGCCTTACATTTATTAACCGCAAATTTGTCTACGCGTTCGTTTTGGGCGTTATACTCCCCATGGTTTCTTTGATTAATTACAACCAAAAAGGTTAACTAGTTTCTGTTTGATATATCTGCCCATTACCTATCTACAGTATATTCTAGAATCTAGACCAGGGGTCTCCAAACTACGGCCCGCCAACAAGTTTTAACCGGCCCGTGGCCCGCATATGTAAATATAGATAAAAAAATTATTTCAAAAATGTATTTATATTATATTATATTTATACCTATTTATTTTTATTTAAGTATATTGTAAAGTAAACAATATTTTATACAAAAATATAAAGTAAACATATTATTTATATAGGTAGGTACCTATATTATTATCATAAAATTTAAAATTATATGTGTTAAAAAACTTTTGGCCCGCTAAGAGCATTTGATTTTTTTTGTGGCCCTTGAATAAAAAAGTTTGGAGACCCCTGATCTAGACTATATTTCAGTCGTTATTGTGACATAGTGTACGGACGTTCGTTCAGTTTCAAAATTTTCAGATTTAAAATGAACGACTGGACTGGACTGACTGGTTTATAACTTTTAATAAACTTTTAACAATATGAATGGAAATTTTTTTATTATACCAAAATTTACTTATAGTATTTTTATTTTTTTATCTACATATTGTTGATACATATTTTTAAATGCATATTTCTGAACTTTTAAAGGCATATTTCAATGCATATTTTCCCAGCTTTTAGTGCATAAGTGCATACTTATTTAGGCATTTTTTAGAGCATGAACTCACGAGCCCTGATTATAACTATAGTAAAAAACAAATACAATTTATGATATAATAAAATATGTTATATATTATCTCTTATATTATAAAACACAAATAGTCTCCGTTTTTCGCCACCAGGCGCGACGCGACAAATAAGGAATTCCGCGTTTCTTCCATGACGACCAATCATAATACTTCTCGCGCGTTCGCTAAATTTTCACGTCGCCGCTCGCTTATCTCCCTTTTCGTTATCGACGATTGACGCATAGAAAAGATATTAAATAGAAAGCGCACTCTGTTAAGGAACATTGAGTCAGTCAGCGACTTGTGCACTCCCGGTGGTTATCGTAAAAACTAAAATATCGATAGTTGATTTTATTCGATTATCGTAGAATTTAATCGATAGCTAACAATAATCGATTATTTTGAATAGTTTTTACTTGTTAATTTTTTTTTTTGGTAGAATCACCAATCAGCAATTTTAATGATTTAATAATTATATGCTAATGAGATAAAACAATTACAAATAAGTTGGTATACACTTTGATAACTTGAAATATATTTAATACAAAATATTAAAATATACATACATTATTATACACATTAATTATTTAACAAAATAAAACAATATGTAGTTAATTAATAAGTTACTTAACTAGTATTAAATAGGTATAGTTTAAAAGAATAATATTACACAATATATTTATAATAGGCATACATTACAATATAAACATGAAAATATAGTAATAACAAAACAAAATGTAGCTATACTAAAAGTAGCTATACTAAAAGGCTCCTAATTTAATGGAACAAATTTTTTTGGTTCTTAGTTTATATGTTTTATGATATTTCAAAGCAGCTATCTTAATTTTATTAGAAGTATTGTTTGAGTTTTTTTCACCTTTATTCAAAATTATGTTAATATCTGTGATAAATGAAAAAATAAGTAATCTAATAGATGTATTTAAAAAGATATATTGCAAGTCATGTTTAGGACAGAATAATAATTCTAAATCAATATAATTTTTCATAATAGAAATAATTTTTTTTTTTAGATTTGGTTTTTCAATAAAATCTGAAATAAATGTATTGAATAAATCTATAACTAGACTATATAAATTAGAAGCTTCAGTTGTTGGATAAATTAAATTACATTTTTCATATTCACGAATTTTAATAAAGTTATGCTCATTTAAAAATATATTGGATGTTAATTTATTTTTACACATTTTACAGTTATTGACAAGTGGTTTAATTTTTTTTACTATCCAACCTGTGACAAATGATCTGGTATTATTTAAAACAAACGAAGATGGTAAATTTTGGGTTTGGGGATTTGTAAAATTTAAATTTTGTGATATTTTTGAGATATATTCCTCTTCTTCTTCAACAGTCTCATACTCATCTAATAATAACAAATCTTTTAAGCTGCTTAAAACTCCGTCACAATTATCTTCTTCACAATTTGCTCCCACCGAATTTTTCGTAGTTAAATTTGATATTAAAAGGGATTTGAAAGAAGATATAAATCCTGCACAAGTTGGGTTTATATTTCTAATGCCATGGCTTCTAATAGAACAAAAGAAATTTTCTATGGGGTCCTGATTAAAATTTCTTAGTAAAATAAAATCAAATCCATCATCTAACAATTTCTTACAGAGATATTTAAAGCCCTTTATTGTTTGTATCCAATTTTTTATTGATACTACTTTATTTTGCTTGCACACAAACTCCATACTTTGCAGTACACAAATAGCTTCATCCCAAAAAGTCCAATGACCAGAGGACCTAGTAACAGCACATCTCAAATCCTTACCAACTGGTGGAGATATTGTACCACCATTCACGCTGTCAAACAGCTTATCCACAAAAAGACATAATACTGCAGTATCTACAGCAGATGAGTCAAGTTGGCATTTTGTAGAACTTCCTGTAAAATAGAAACAGAAATAATAAGAATAATTTAATGTTTACTTTTTTTTTTGTCAATTATAATCTTACCTGGCCATGAAGCCAAAACTTTCATAATAGAGCCGACCCGCTGGCTGAATACTTGAGCAGCGTGCGAAACCTTCATCTTTTTCATTTTGTCTTCATAAATATGGGCATCAGATAGTTTTGGATTCATACGATCACCAATAACTGATTCACTTTTGTCCAATTCATATAACTGAGTTATGTGTGACCATTTTGCTACTCGCTGGACTTTGTCCTTACAAATAAACTTTAAGTTTTTTGTCAGAAGATTGTTACGAAGACATTTTAACATGTGTGGTGGATCGAATAACGGTATAATTTCCTGATTATTAATCTCAAATCCAAATAGGCGATTTTCCTGACCAAGTCTTAAATATTTAGCATTGGTTTCTGCTCTTAGCTTATTTATTGCAGCTACATTTGTACTTGCTTGATCACAAACCAACGCAACTACTTTAAGACCAGTAGATTGAACTGCTTCAACTACTTCTTTTATGGCAACTACAAGTTCAGGAGTTTTTATGGTACTGTTTGTAAACATAAATGCCACAGGTTGTTTAAACTTTTTACGAACGCCCCTTACCATGAATGTCATAGCTTTATCGGCAAAAATTGGTTTAATTTTTTTGCTTCCAAGGTCTTCAAAGCCTAACACTGTATCTTGGTGAGGTATATATTGCAAACCGGGAGATAGTGAAATCTCATCAAATAAAATAGTGCAGTATTTATCTAATGGATTTTTTATTTTACCAACAGTTATTTTGAGGTGTTCAAATATTTTTTTGTTTATTCCCGTGTGAAATGGAATTTTTTGTAGTAAATTCATTAATGACTTTTTTGATGGTAAGGCAAATACTTTTTGAAGCAATCGATAAGCTTTACCACTTTGTTTGAATACCGATAGCGCAAATACTTAGTCATCAAATGTAAAACGTCTCCCTCGTGCTTTTTTGGATTGAGTGCGTATTTGTGACTCAATGAAAGTAGTAGTGATTTTATTTAATTTTTTTAAAGATTGTTGATGGTTATTCATATATGTTTCAGCCAATAGCAAACGTGTTTTAAGTTTAGTGTCTCGAT